AAAAACTGACTGCAGTAAAGAACATAGTTGTGCTTGTGCATGCACAGAACAACTCTAACAACTAACCTGTGTGCTTTGACAGAACTAATGTAGATGCTGACATGCTGCAATGTTTTTTCTGTCTCAGTCAAACTCATCCTGAACACTTATCTTGGAGCAACTGCCTGCCTTATGCTCCTGTTTATAATATATAAGTATACTGTTATATCTTTAGCAATTGAGTAGCCATTAGTCAATGCTTCGTCTTTATCTGAAGGGATTGCAAAACGACTATATGCATACTGGTTGGTGACTTTGGTAGTCTTGCTATATTTTCTAGTTTGGCGATGTTTACTGTCAGTTTTTGTTTGGTGGCTTGGTGCAGATATCAAAGAGTGATGTCAGTGTCTACATTAGTGATAGTGCTTGCACATTTAAATTTGATCGTAGCTGATGATATTTTAATAATCCCCTCCGCGTGGCTGCATACGGAAAACAGTGGCAAGGTGATCTTCCTAAGAGCGTGTTTGGCCGCACTTCGGCTCCGGCTCCGCGGTAGCTCTGGCAACGGAGGCGCACCAAACGACATGAGAGGAGCGCTTATGCGCCACGAACAGAGGAGCGGGAGCCCTTTTTGGTGTACGGAGGTGGAGCCACAATTTGCTGCTCCGCCGCTCCGGTTCTGGCTCCGGCGACGGAGCCCCGTTTATGCTGGTGGTGACTTTGAGTAGTTAGTACCTTCTTGCCAGATATATTTTAATCTGCATTGGCAGCTGGGAAACAACAAAGAACACAGAAATACCTCCATATTTTATGTTTTCCTTTGCATAAATTGTTTGCAACATGTGGGTACAGGTACACATCATCTCCTAATATTCTGATGTTCATTGATTCACTTTTTGGAACCTGTTTTCTTGACATTGCATGGTTTACTGGTTGGAAGCTGATGAATCCATCCTTTTTTAAAAAAAAATACCAAATATAGTTTCAATGGTCCCTGCAATGGCTTTTCAACAAGGTCTCTTTAATTATTTCCAATAGAGTCTCTGTAATGTGATCCTTTTTGTGTCATTAGAAATTTTCAGCTTATCCAATACCTGGTAGTGAACATATAGCTTGTAGTGTGGATCAGAGAAAATGATTTAGGCAACATATATGTAGTACTTGTCCTATCTTGCGTTTGTGTGATCAGAGAAACTGATTTTGGCAACTCGAGAACGAATAGGCATAGTTTTTTTATTCACCGACATAACACACCTGCTACTCAAGAACTGGTAATTTATGTTATGCGCTGGGATCTAGGTTGATGACTTTATGTTATCTCCATTTACTGTGTGCAGAAAACCATGGACGAACATGTCCCCACCGGACAAGGTAATGATAGGGATGAGCCACCTGGTGAGGAGGCAAACTATGATATGGAGATGTTGTTAGGACTAGAGGCTTCCGCAGATGGTGATATAGGTACAACCAATATGGAGCACAAAGAGTGCAGTGACCGAGACGATCAGACACACTATGAAGAGAAGCTCATGCTGGACGCAGGTAGAAACAGGGATATTTTTTTAGGTCCTTATGCTTGGAGATTACAATCATAAAGAATTGTATTACATGTGACACCCTTGTGTTTGCAATATATAGTGCTCAGGTAGCCGGGCCGTGGTGACATGAGCCATGCAGAGTATAAGGAAGACGAGAGCGTGGTGAAAGACACTGCCAAGGATGAATGGAAGGGTGCAATGGGCTTATAGTTGAAGGACGGTACCGCCAAGGGCAACACTAATGTGACAAAGGTTGATGTTCACAAGCCGGCTCAAAGGGATTCTCCAGATGCGGATCCATCAAAAGAAAAAGAATTGTTGCGTAATGAATTGATAGAGGGTTTGATGCATAACAAACCCATAAAATCATCGTCGGCTCGCATCATGCCAGATGGTAGTGTACTTTTCATCCATTATGGTATTCATTTATTGGAGCACGAAAGAAATAGATATATGAGATTTCTTCCTACCGATTTAAAATGTTATCTTAGCCACATTATAGAAAGGTCACGATAAGATAAAATACTGTGAAATTAAATACCGATGTTAAAGTACCATTTAATCCAAAAAGCAAAGTTTGTGTGTTTTTTATATAAAAGTTTAGCTGTTCCGTAGCAACGCACGGACACGAACATAGTTATATAAAAGGTTTGTAGCGACCAGATAGATGATTTTTTTATTCAAGAAAAATGTGCATTTACCTGGTAATCACTCAACCATATAAGAATAACAAAAACACGGCGGCGATCCAGCCATACCCAATTTTTTTATTCCATCGAGTCACACATGCATAAAAATTGCAAAATATATTTGAACACAACACAATATTTTATTTATTCAAGCAAATGCATTTCTCCCTGGTAAGCACAAGAACATGACCGTAAGAATATTATATTATTTTAAAAAGCACAGCGGGCGGTCAATGAAATTAATGCACAAGTGAGTAGTAGCGAACTGAGCTAGGCAAGAGGGAGAATCAATTTGTCCCGAGGTTCGGTGGCTTACCGACAATCTATGTCCTCGTTGTGGCGAGTCTTAAGATGAGTGATTCGTGCACTAACTAGATGCTCAAGCTATACCCACAACTTGGGTGCCGCAATAATCAAACACAACGATGACTCCAACTAGGCACGCACATTCCACCAGAGTATCCCTTTGCAATCTCCACGAGGTGGGATCAAAACCACTCACAAATCACTGATCGGAGGCCAAAACAATCACGAACACACCCCTCAGTGATCACCGCTGCTCTAAGCCATCTAAGTGGCGTCAATAACCAATAGTAACAAAAAATCCGCAGCCCAAATGATGAACTAATTCTAGTAAATGCAAATCAACTAGGCAAATGCACTAGATCTCTCCCAATCTCACTTTGTATCGAACAACTAGTAAGGAGATGAGTGGGAGGTGTTTTTTTAGAGCTCACACAAGTATTGAAATGGTTGCCAAGAGGGGCCTCCAAGAGCCAGCCAACTTGCATTTATAGAGCTCCCAAAAACTAGCCGTCACAGGCTCTTGATGGTAGGCTGTCTAGAGGTAGGCACCGGTAGAGTCAGGTGCCCACCAGACAGGCACCACCGGAGCAAGCGACGCTCAAACTAATGGCTTAGATTCAATGTGAAGTCTAAACCTGTAGCGCTATCTTTGGTGCAACATAATGTGCACCACTGGACAATTCAGGTGGCCACGCACACGCTCTGTCTGAGTCAAACTAGCCGTTGGAGCTTCCAACGACTATACGCATTTTCCGGTGACTCTACGGTGAGGGGCACTAGGTTATTCCGATGTCCCCCAGAACATATCGGGTGTAGGCACCCGAGAACTCTGGCCATCACCAGAAAAGTCTGGTGATGCGCACTGGAAACTCCGATGACTCTACAAATCAGTTGTGTGCATGGAAGCTGAGGGATGACAAGATCTTAGTGTGAGCATGGAGGCCTATGGTTGACAAATCAATGACGCGGAGGAGACCCATGCTTGGAGGCATGGAGGAGAGTCGTAGTAGTTGAGAATATCTATCATCTCTCTCTGTCTCCTCTTTCCATCTCCTTCACTCTCTCCTCTCTTTAATTTTCCCTGTGCGTATCTAAATCTCTCCCTCATGGTGATAGGAGATGAGACTGAGGGTGGAGGAGGCTGGGGGATCCGGGCTATCTGAGTGTAGAGGAAACTAACTGGCTCCAAGCAACACATGTGGAAGAGGGTGGCATGTGGCACGTTCGTGGAGACCGGTGGGCTATGGGCAGGGTGCGCAGATGTGACTAGCAGCCTCTGAGCGGTGCGTGGAGGAAGACATCCAGCTTCAGGCGACACGGCTGTTGTGGAGGCCCGGCGGGTTTCAGGGCAGCAAGGGTAGTGCAGGCTCCCTATTTGTAGAGGAGGCCAAGGGTGGCACAACTTTCTCCCTGTCTAGATCTGATCCTTAATTGGCATTCCAGGTGCTCCCCCTTGATCTCTTCTAGTCTCCCGCTCATGCAGATCTGGCTGTTGTTTTGCATCTGCTAGATCTAGATCCACCATGAAGATCTTTGAGTTTTGTTGTCTCTCGATCTCATAGGTCCCATCTGACGAGGGAGGCTCTGGTATCAGTGGACCTACCAGTAGCGACTTCGGTGGTGCTAATCGGAAGCAAGACAAGGAGTAGTCACACTAGCTCTAGAAGCTAGAGCTAGTTTTTATAAAAAAAATTTAGAGGCAGGCATTGTAATCCACCAACTAGAAATACCATTTTCACAGGTGTACTTTTTGACCGTTCTGTTATTAGTGATTAACACAGACCATCATCCAGAGGCGGCGTCTTGGTCTGCATCTACCAAGCATTTTTGGTCGCCTTTGGAGAGTTAGAATGTAGTAAAGCTACATGCAATGATTGCTATTGCCCTTGCTTTCCAAATAGCCAAATTACAATTAAGACTTAAGAGCAAATCAACAAAAAGCAAGGTGCACTATTATTTTCATTGGTTTGATTCTAAAATTCTATCGCTTAGTTTCTAACCGATGGATCAATATTAAATGACTAAGATTTCTCACACCCATCCTCTTATTGTTCTTCTTCGGCCCACACACCGGCCCATCACCACTCACCCCAGCCCAAACCTCATTCCCACTAGCATGCCTTCATCCTTTATTCACTAACTCGCTCTATATATTTGTAAATTTTTCCTTTACCCTATCTAACCTAGTCCCCTCTCCCCCTCCCTCACCAATGGCGGCGCCGCCGCCACCACTCGTACTCTCTATCTCTGTCCCACACCATTGCCTCTACGCATGTCACCTCTGTTGTTCGATCGGCCGCGACCCCATCCAAACAAAGCCCATAGAAAGAAATCCATAAACTTCATCCTTTCTAGGGTGTTGTTGTCAAGATAGAAGACTTGTCTCAACCTTGATCCATATCCTAGTCATGCTGCACAAATCCGTCAAAATAGCCCATTGAAGGAAATCCATAAAACTTCATCCTTCCTAAGGAGCATAGTCAAGATGGAGGACACCCCTGATACAAAGAAGAAGAGATTTCAAGGTCCGTGTCACAAAGAATCTACTCCCAAAGAAGGAAATGAAGACGGTGTTGACCATATAAGCGGCCTTCCCAACGACATCCTAGGTGATATTATCTCCCTCCTTCCTACCATGGATGGTGCATGTACAAAGTGTCTATCTTCTACGTGGAGCCAGCTTTGGTTCACCGCCCCACTTAATTTTGACTATTGTGACCTCCAAGATCCCAACGATGATAAAGACCTTGTGAGCCTCATTTCTAGAATTTTTATGCTCACCGGACCCCACTGACGCTTTTGCATCCCTTCACACTATCTCTGCACAAACATTGACAATGTTGTTACTTGGCTTCAGTCCCCCACCCTTAATGGGCTACAAGATCTTGAGTTCCACATCCCAGAAGTTGACTTTACATTGTCATTATATCCCCCACCATCAGCATCCATCTTTCGCTTCTCATCCACACTCCGTATTGTCTCCTTTGGTGGATGCCGCCTCCCAGATATCATGGTCAATAAGCTCCAATTCCCCAACTTCCAGCAGCTTGCACTCTTTGATGCTATTATCTCCGAGGAGACCCTGCATGCCATGCTTGATAGTTGCCCCGCACTCGAGATCTTGCTGATGAAATACCATGAAGGTTTTTTTGTGTTCGGATTAATTCTCATCCCTTAAGAGCGTAGGTGTTCATACTGGTTCTTTTCAACAAGGTCCCATTATAGGGGAGCTCATTATTGAGGATGCCCCATTACTTGAGAGGTTTATCATTTTTGAGCGATATAGTAGGTTGCACATATCGGTGGTCTCAGCACCAAAGCTGGAAACCCTTGGCTGTATTTTTGAGAATAATAACAAGACAAAGCTCACTCTTGGATCTATGACTTTTCTGGTAACTAGAGCCTTCTCCCATCTCCCAAGTGTTCACACTTAAGTGCTGCTTGTATTCCGTATTCCACGTCATTGCGATTTATAGTCTGTTCTAGCCATAGAAATTCCATTGGTCACATTTGAGTTCCCCATTGATCTTCATTCAGAGAATTTTATTTTATAACTTGTTGTTATGATTCCCTAACAAAATGTTTTATTTGACCAAGGGAATACGTTTAGCTGATATGAGAGCACTGGTGTCGATGCATAGTGTCAAGGTTTTATCTGTGTTCCCTTTTGGTTTTTGTCTCGATGATGTTCTCAATTTCATTAGATGCTTTCCATGCACAGGAGAAGCTGTACATCCAGCTGGTAATGTTTCTTATTTCCATATATGGTAAATGAGATACAAAGTTAATTTGGTCTCCATAATGACGTGGCCATCCTTGTTCAGATTTCTCGGTCCGAACTAATATTTCACCTCATTTTAACTTCCAGGTCTAGTACGAGAGGCGCATGAACCGCTTGCCTGCGTAAACACAGGAACCTAATCAAATCCCTTGACCTTTTGCCTGAAAACAATAGTGATGACAAATTATCAGGGCACAACAGAACAATTAGAATTTGTGACATTCTTTGTGGAGAATGCAAGAATGCTTGAGTCTATGAGTTTTTGGTCCCAAGTTGTTTCTACCTGTGACAAGAAGCTGGATAAGAAGGCAGCAGAGACAGCTCAAGCTGGACAAGAGGCCTTCCAGAGGTCCTACATTTACTTTCATAGAGAATCAATGCCACCACAATATGATACATGTTTTATGGGCCAGTGATCTGTCGTGACGATCCGTTTGATTGATAGCTGCTGAATTTGGCATTCATATGAAAATTGTCGCACCTTAAAGTCTTGATTGTTACTTTGCTTAAAACCGTTCATTGCATTCCTTTTCGAAACACCACTTGTAATCCCTTTGCAATTTGCATAAATAATTGTAACACCCCAGGTGTTTATCACCAGTTAAGAAATAGGTTTGAGCTCAAACATGACATGTCAAGTGGTAATCAAGGTGTCAAGATCAAATCTACATGATGGAGCTCCAACTTAAACTTGGGCCACATACAATTGCTTACATATGGACCCTTGTTAAGATTATGCAAGAGTAATGTTAAACATGCTTATTCCATGTACATTACATCCACATGCATCCATCTAGACCCGTGGAAAAGTTTCATGAAGTTTGGAATCAAAAAGTCACATGAAATGATAAGTCATATCTTTGCATGAATTGCTTTATCAAGTGGATGGAAACCTGTAAGTCAACCAAACCTTGGTACCTTGCTCAAACAACTCTACTTGCACTCATGAACAAATGTTATGAAGGGTTCATGTTGAGCAGGTGCATAGAAAATGCAACCAATGGATCAAAAGGATAATATAAGCTTCATCATTGATCCTATTTTGGTCAAAAGAAGTAGAACAGCAGGTTTTATACCAGTTTTGAGGTTGGACCTTAAATGAAAGTTGTAGTCCATATCATGCTTTGTTTTTGGAACAAGAGC